GCCGCTGGAAGCGCTACCAGCGCTCCCACGATGACACTACGCCGGTGAGCTGGGGGACCTACAGGATTCAGGGAGCCCCAGTAAGCCCAGGGGTTGGGGAAGGCTCTCAGCTGGCCCTCTGCTGCGTGGCTGTGGATTGGTTGCCAACTTGGCTTTCTCCCTCTGTATAATGAGCTCATAGGGGGCCAATGGGCGGCATGGTCGCTGGAAGCGCTACCAGCGCTCCCACGATGACACTACGCCGGTGAGCTGGGGGACCTACAGGATTCAGGGAGCCCCAGTAAGCCCAGGGGTTGGGGAAGGCTCTCAGCTGGCCCTCTGCTGCGTGGCTGTGGATTGGTTGCCAACTTGGCTTTCTCCCTCTGTATAATGAGCTCATAGGGGGCCAATGGGCGGCATGGTGGTTAAGGTGCCTGGATCCCACGTGTCCAACCGTGCGGTTCAAGTCCCAGACCCAGCAGCTTGAAAAACATTGAGAGTGTGCATGCCCACAATCTCAAGATTTTCCAGGAGGAGAATGGAAGAGAAGAGAGTGCTGTCTCACTTCCCCTCTCTTCTCTCTGTCTCTCTCCAGTGAGCACATGCACCCTATAGCAAAAAATAAAATACAGTAAAACAGGCTCATAGGAATTCCTGAATCTACCTGGCTGGGTGTCACGGATGCAGCTAGTTGGTAACAATCCTCTGACGGCATGGGGCTGGCTGGCCCAAAGTTCTGGGCAGGGGGGGGAGCACTCCAGGAGAGAAGGGTCACCCCAAGGTGAGCAGAGGTTCTCAGCTTCCTGGCAGATCCGGACAGGCAGGCAGGCGGGCGGGTGGCAGAGGACTGGGTGAGGAGGTGAGCCTGGCCAGCCTGGAGCCTGGGAACTGGCAGGGCCGTGGCCTGGCACCAGAACCCAGTCACCTGAGCCACAGGCCTGCCAGAGCTGGCAGCAGGTGCTCGACTGGATAAAGAAAGCCTCCCTCAACGCTGAGCTTCCCAGGCGGGCAGAACTGCTCCCCGGTCCCTGGGTGCTATCAGGTGAGGATCCTGTTTCTTCCTCTGAAGGCACCCAATTCCTGTGTGGTGTTTATCTAAAAGCTTTGCTGTCTGCAGAACAACTTTCCTCCGCCCTCCTGCTTGTCTGAACAAAGAAGCCAGCCTCCGATTCAGCTAGCCCCAAACAGGCTGGAACAAACACCCAAGGGGTGTCTGTGTCAGGAGCCGAGTGGGTCGGGCTGTCTGGAGAGGGAGGTCGAGAAGCTCAACCCGTACCCCAACCCCAACCCCCTGAATTAGTGGAGATCTGCACTAGGCTAAGTCAGGAGCCTTGGTTCATGACCACAGATGGTGAGAAGTGGGAACCGCCTGATTCACTGGACCTCACTCCCAACACAGAGGAGGCAACATGGCCAAACTGAGGCTGCAGAGCAGGCCTTGGCAGTGCCACCTCCAGGAGTCCCACTGCAAGGTCCAGCCTTTCCCTTAGGTGGATTAGGTGGACACGGCACTTGCCCACGCTGGTGCAGGCAGGAACTGTGGCGGCTGATGGGCGGGGGTGCCACTGCCACTCAGCCCTCATTGTCTCCATGCTCCCTCCCCTGTGCACTGGAGCATCACACACTCAAGGAGGTGCCAGCTGACAGCCTGAGAAGAGCAATGGGAAGCGACTGGGCAGTGCCCCGTGCTAGGCACCAGGCAAGGCACTCCAGTCGCATGAACAAGGCTTGTCCGGCTCCGAAAGGGGACAGGGTGGGGTGAATGACTTCATAGCTCCTGGCCACCCTGCATTGCTCTGGGTCCTATTCTCTTAAGGGTGGGGTAGGCAGCCTCCCTCACTCCTGCCTTCCTATGTCTGGGAAGGCAGGCTCGGCCATGGCCAGCACCCTGGGTTTGGTGAGTCCCTGCTGTGTTGGGCGCTGGCTCACAGGCAGTGAGCTGTGAGTTACCCTGGGTAAACAGCATGGGGTAGTGACTGGGCCAAGGTCACAAAGCAGCAGGGGTTGGAGTGGGGGGAGGGTGGGGCGGAAAGACAGCTGAGGCTGAGGGGAGGAGAAGGATAGCTGAGCCCCCAAGAAGAAAGCCTGGGGACCTATGGGACAGAGCTGGCCCAAGACAGATTCCCCCGGGCCAGCCAGCAGTGAGCCAAGGAGTGAGAAAGCGCTGGTCTTGGCTGGGCCAGCACAGGGCCCAGGGTGGAGGAAGGGGGCTGCCACTGGTTCTGAGGGGCTGGGAACCCAACTGTGCAGGCTCTGCAGACACCAGGGTTGGGAGGAGGGGGGCAGGTATGGGCCTAGGCTGGGGGTGCAGCAGGAGGCCACACTGGCTGGCGGGGTGAGAGGAGAGCACTTGAGCAGGTCTGGTGGCAGCATCTCTGCAGAAAGGCTGAGCTCACCTCAGGCAACCCGGAGCCCAGCTGAGGATGGAACCCAGCTGAGAATGCTGAGGATGTGAGCGCTCCTCTCGCCCTGCCCCTCCCTCCCACTTCCTGGGTTCAGAGCCTCAGCCTGTCTCTTCTCCTTTCTCTCCCTGTCCCTCTGAGACAGCTGCGCAGGTGACAAAGGCTGGGCTCTCTGGCCTGCCGCTGTGCAGGGACAGGGGTCTGGCGACTCACAGAGAGAGCTCGGGGCGGTGGGCAGGCTCTGTGCATTTTGCTGAACAGATAAATAGAGCCCAGCTAGGAAGATGAGAGGAGAGCTAGGGGTGGGTAGAGCCCTCTGCTGGCGCGAGGGGTCCAGCCTCTGCCAGGTCTCTCTTCTCCCGCATCTCCCAACTCAGAGAAGCCAGGGGTCCAGTCCTGGGAAGCCAACCTCTCCACGTCTCATCAGTGAAACAGGCTGACACGTCGCAGCGTCACTGAGGCATTCCATTCTCTCCTCTACCTGGAAAATCAAGTGTGAGAGTCAAAGGAAAACTTAGTATTGGGGCCAGCCAGGTGGTTAAGGTGCCCGGATCCCACATAGTTGGAGTTGCAGACCCAGCAGCTTGAAAAACATGCTGGACACATGTGCATATGTGGCCAAAACCCCAAGAGGAGAATGGAAAAGGGATTGTGGATGGTCATCCTCCCTGGGGGAATGCTTTCTCACTGCCCTCCCTTTCTCTCTGTGCCTCTCTCCATCAATGCCTGCACTAGCAAACTAAAAAGAAACAGTAGCATGTATCGGGTTCCTGCTGTGTGATGCAGGGGGAGCAGTGTTCACATCTCCCCTGGTGATGGCTGTCACCCCTCTGTGGGGCATGCTTCACCGTGCACACTTTCTGGATGGAGAGAACAAAGGCTTGGCGCCCTCCCCCAGGCATCAGTGACGGGTTTCCAGCACAAGCCTCAGGGGCTGGAATTGGGGGAAAGCACATGTGTGTTCTGACCATGAACATGTTTAAATGAGAGCCCACTGGATGGGGAAATTACCTGATGGAGGAGAAAGGGCACTGGGCCAGGAGCATCCAGGACAGGAGAGGGAGTGTCCTTGAAGGCCAGGATCTTGTGTGTCTCTGGTTAGGATCCAGCCCTGTCCTGGGGAGTGAGGAGGGTAGGCAGAGGGCTTGGGAAGGAGCTCCCCTCCCCCATCCCGGCAGGTCTCCTGTCTCCTGCCCCCTCCCCCACCAACCACATGCCCTCCTCTTCCAAGCCCTTTTACACACTTGACAAGCAAGCGTGGGTAAGTGTGTCCATACGCCCAGGACACAGGGTTGGCAAGCAAGGACACAGGGAACTGAGGACTGGGAGAGCGACATGCCTTGCTGCACTGCCCAGCACTGAGAGAGCAGAGAGCCTGGCAGCAGGAGGCCAGGCTTTCTCCACAGCCAGGAAGGGGATGTGAAGGTTTTTATAACTGGGGTAATTAAGTGGTGGTGTCTGTGACTCGCTCCTCTAATACTGCCAATTAAGGACTTGATAGGACGCTGTCCCCACAGGGCCCGTGAAGACCGAGTGTCTGGGAGAGGCAGTTTAGTGTCTCAGCCAGCTTCTGTGTGAGAGGGATGCAGGTCAGACGCCCGGGGGAACTTCCCAGCCAGAGCAACACGATGCCAACGCTCTTGTGCTCCTACGGGCTGTTTGCCTTGAAGGCTGCTACACACTCTATCAATTCCCTTCATCTCACAGGTGGGGCTCCCGGAAGAATTAGAGATGTATTTAGCCGAGGGGCTGACGGCACAGCTGCACGGCCCCCTGTTCCCACCGCCAGGCCTGTGCCATCTCCCCTGTTCCATACCAGCCTTGTGTGGGATGCTCTCGCTACTTATTCGATCAACAAACCTACCCCGATATCCCCTCCCTCCTTCAGAGGGCTCCTAGGCAGTGGGGTAGCAGACAGGAATAGCACACCCAGACCATGCAGAGTGATCACAACAGTGAAAGCTAGTCAGAAAGCCCATCTCGTCAGAGCAGGGACATGATCAGGGTAGAGGAATTGAGGCCACCAGAGTGTCTTATGGTTGGGAATGGAAGGTAGTGCAGCTCTGTAAGGCTCAGGTGTGAGGAGGGGGATGGGTGTTGCCACAAACAGAGCCTTGAGGCCGTGGGAGGGGCCTGGACTTCACCTTGGGCAGGGGGAGTCCTGAGTGGGACTCAGGCATGCAGGGCCCACTGTGGTTACACTGTGGAGAATGCTTAGGTGTGAGGGGGTGTACACAGGGATACAGAATAGGGGAGGGGTTCCAGAGACAGTGATGCAGGTGTGGTCGGAATTGCAAGAAAGGAGTCTCCAGAGGTGAGCGCATTGTCCCATGGCTGCCAGCCTGGGTGGGCGAGGCCAGTCCGGGGAGGGGGATGGAGTAGGCAGCCATGCTGTGCCCAGCACTGAGCATGTGAGGGAGTGATCAGGGTGTGGTACAGCACCATGGGGGTATGCGGAACAGACAAAGGAAACCTCCCAACCCCAACTTCCCACCTCTCTGACGGGATGTGAGGCCTGCTGTGGGGAAACCCACCAGCCTCTGCCTCTTCCCCTCCCGATACTCCCAGGCCAGCTTGCTGAGCTCCTCCCATTCCAACGTGGCCTTACCCTTCACAGCACCGCGCCCTTGCTCCTGCCAACCCCTCTGCCAGGCATGGTCTCT